CAATAAGGCAGACATGCATTCGAATCATGATTTAGTGGCAAGTGCCCTGAACAGCTGGTCACAGAGTTTATTTAAGCAAAGAGATAAGAGAAGAATGGGAGTGAATAGAGTGAGTGTGTGTGTATGTGTGGGAGGACAAGAACGTGTGTGTGTGTGTGTGCGTGCGTGCGTGCGTGCGTGCGTGCGTGTGTGTGTGTGTGTGTGTGCGTGCGTGCGTGCGTGTGTGTGTGTGATAATGCTTTCAGGACATTCAGTTAATAGATCTGTTAATAGGACTAAAGTAATGAAATATAAAATTTCCATAACAATATAAAATAGAAAGCAGGAGACATTTACAATGGAAAAAACTTCCATTTTCACCGGAAAGGTTAAGTTTTAATGTGCAAACGTCTGAAAAAATCTCTCAGTTGAAATCTTTTTTATCTACTTGTTTTAGTGGAAATTCCATTTTAGAGGTTTTAATTTTTTTTTCACTTATTTGTAACAAATAATTTCATTTTTATTTTATTAAATCTTGCGGACATACTATCCAATTAGCAAGGGGATTAAAAAATATGCTGGACAATAAGCTGTTTTTTTAAGCTAAATAAGCTACATGGCTAAGAAGTAGGGGTTGTATGAACCAGTCGACTAGTCGACTTCACTGCTCTGTAGTGACTTTTTATGCCTGTCATCGACTAGTCGCTGTCACGTGATAACGACTGACAAGATGCAGTCCTCGGAAAAGACAGCAAGTGATGAGCCCCTGCGTCGGGAGGTGGAGGCGATGCGCTGTGCCAGAGCATCGGTACTGACACCGGCGGTAAAATGGACATTTAACCAAACTGTGACCTTTTCCCTCTTGCAATTTTACCTTCCCCTCACCCCGTCCTAATCTTAACCAGTTTGCGCATGCAAAGCTCTGATCGTTGACGTGCTCCAGACATCTGTGTCCTGAGCACGGCCAAATCAGGTGTCACCACCTCAAAAACAAATTAAACATGCGATCGTTCATGTTGGCTCATTTCCTTTAATGTTTTCTGTCTGTTCTTTGTGCCTGATGCGTTTCGCTGCTGCGGAGCGAGGCGCATCACCTGTTTTGTCCTCCGGTGACGCACCCCAAAATTCCACCATCTCCGCTCCGCTCCGGCACGAATTCCGCAGCAAAAACGGTCCCGTTGTAGTCGGCCGGCGAGCAGCGGCACTCCGTTGTTTTTGCGGTCGGTAGATCTTTTAGAACTGCAGTTCAAAGGTAACTCATAAGGTGAATATATATGAGCCCAGGTAGCAGTTTTTCTTTAGGATTGAGAGGAGATGCAGGAAGATAATAAACAGACAGGACAGAAAAATAGTCAAATAAAAACAAGTTAGTTTTTGTACCTGGTGGTTGCAACAAACAGACACCATTGAAGGTAATCAGAAGTGAGGAACAGAAAATGAAATAATTATTTTAATGTTTAGAGCAGCAGGAAAGGCTGCAGGCGCATCAGTGAGTTTGCGGCTGCTGCGCAGGGGGAGAGGGCTGAAGTAGGATGCAGAAACTACCGTTGTTAAAAGAGATGTGTTAACTTAGAAAATGTGGGCGCAATTTTAATTGTCAAAAACTCCAGCGAACCTACCGACCCCCCCCCCCCCCCCCCCCCCCCCGTACCGCTTCAGGTGTATGGCGTCATCAACGACTAGTCGAAGTCGACTTGATTTTCATTACTTGACTGTCGACTTTAAGTCATACAACCCCTACTAAGAAGAAAAGTGGGAAAAGTGATAATATGAGTCTTATTGTGATGAGCAAGCTCTATTGTAACAACAAATAAATGCACTATAGATGTAAACTCAAAATATCTGTGCTTGTATTCTTATATAAAATTATTTTATTAGCATCTGAGGAACTTCCTTAAGAAAACACCCGTTAATGCTGCAAGAAACACTAAATGTGTTTGTGGCTTCCATACTATAAAGTTGTTTGTTGTTTTTGGGCCAAAGAAACTTTGTGTGAGGACACACGTCTGGCCATCAGGTGTCTAAAGACCCAGCTGCTCATCCATTTTAATATCCCCCAGAACTCTCGGCTGACAGCGAACAGTGCTGAGCTAAACCAAAACTAAACTGAACTAATCATTGCCAATTTTCTTTGGCCTAAAAGGCGCCCGCCTGGCCTAATGCAACTGCCACGTTTCATTTACATCTGCCAAAAGGTGGCGAGTGAAGGTAGAATTATGGGAGCTGATTAGCAGGAAGTGAGCCAGCTTGACAGGGATGAATTAAAGTTTGGATGGTCAGAGGTGCAAGGACAGATGCATCTAGACAGCTTTCAAAATGAAAAGATTCTCTTTTACACAAGGGGTTCATATGCCATCTATTTTACATTATAACTATTTGACCTAAATATGTTCACAAACTAAAATAAGGAGCGATCTTTGTCACCATTGATCTCAAATCTTAGTAACCTGAAGTTTGACAGCATCACCTGAACAGGACTTTAATTTTCTATAAAAAATGGTGGATGTGGTATATTGTCCAGTGTGTCTCAGTGTGTCTTTATATGGGAGACCAATGTGGGAGACTCATTTCACTGCTCCAGAACACTGTGACTGTTAGCTTATATCTGTCTTATATCCTCTTTCTTATTCATTTTCTCTCTCTATTTCCTTACATTTTTAGCACAATTTTTATTTTTTCTCCTTTTAAACAGTTTCAAAAATGTTTTAGAAATCTTGTTTATACAGTGATCCCTCGCTACTTCGCGGTTCGTTTTTCTTTGGAGCCTTATTCAAGGGAAATTCGCCGATTCGCGGTATTTTTCACCGATTCGCGGTATTTTTCTATGCGAAATATCAAGAAATTCCTGTTTTTTTCCACCAATTTCATTATAAAATGCACTTTTTGTAATAAAACTATTAAAAAAAACAAGTAAAAATACAGTACTATGTAAAGGGAGGGTTGTAAAAGTCTGAATACTGAATACGTACCTGTTAAATAAATACTGTAAATATGGTGTCCCTACTTTGCGGATTTTCACCTATCGCGGCCAGGTCTGGAACGCATCTACCGCGATAAACGAGGGATCACTGTACTTACATTTTTTTTCTGTGAAGCGCCTCATGATTTTTATCTTGAGAGGTGCTATATAAAATATTGTTTCCTTTCTTTCTTTCTGTTTTTGGAAATCTGACTTTTTTCCCACCTTTATTATTTTTCTCTGCATTTTCTATTTCTTACTCGTGTGTGTGTGTGTGTGTGTGTGTGTGTGTGTGTGTGTGTGTGTGTGTGTGTGTGTGTGTGTGTGTGCGCGCGTGCGCGCACGTGCGTGCGTGTGCATGTGTTTTATTAAGGTCAATGTGGTCAGCTGGGTTTTCTAAGGTTTATCTTTTTTTAAGGCGGCAGAACCAAATTCTAAACCCACAGTTATTTACTAAAGGACAGTTGACTTACACTTAAAAAAATGTTTGTCCTGTGAGCAGAATTGTTGTTATGCTTAAAATAGATGAACAGAATGGCTCATTTAATGCATAAGACCAGTTTCTTGAAGGATTGGACAAGGCAGCTTTAATTATATAGCACATTTCATACACAGAGGCAATTCAGCGAGCTTTCCTCTATCAAGAATATCAAGAAAGTCGATGTGACAGCAATTAAAATACACAAACCGTTTCAGATTTAAGCATCAGATAAAAAAACAAAGTTATTGGGTGAGCAGTTACAGCGCAGAAGGTGCAGTGTAAGATACAAGTCATTCAAAGGCTGATGAATATATAATATAGAGTTGGGGCACATTTAAGGTCATGGGGAAGCTGATTCCATAGTAGCTAAAAGCAGCTTCACCATGCTTGTTTCTGACCCGGGGTTCTACCAGTTGGCTGTTTCCTAAGGATCTCAGAGTCTTGCTGGGTGTGGATACAGGAAGGAGATCTCACATGTATTCTGGCCCCATGCCATTGAGAGATTTATAAACTAGTGGAAGCACTTTGAAATGGAGTGTATGTAGTTTAATGTAACCAGTGTAGAGATTTAAGAACAGGAGTGATGTGCTCGGTTCTCTTGGTTCTTGTTAAGACTCTAGCAGCATCATTCTGGATAAGCTGCAGGTGCTTCACAGCTTTTTTGGTAAGACCAGTCAAAAGGGTTAGCCTACTGGAGAAGAACGAGTTTCTCTAGGTCTTGTCGGGACATGAGATCTCTGAGTCATGCTATTTGATGCAGATGATAAAACGCAGAATAGCCTTAATGTGACCAGTGAAGCTCAGTTCTGAATCATTGACACCAACATTTCTAACCTGAGTCTTTGTCTGTTTTCCTCTGAAGCCAAGAGGAACAATAACCTCCATCCTATCCTTATTTCTAAAGACAATAACTTCAGTCTTGTCTATGTTTGACTGACAACACTGACAGAGTGAGTCGAGACCACAGTCACTAGAAAGCTAGGTAGCTCTGGGGTTCATTGGGTCTGCAACCAAAGCTCTGAATATCATCCTATCAATGAGCTGTTTAATAAACTCAAATAATTGAAGAAATAATGACATAAAATTAAAAAAAAACATTATGATTTGCTTTGATTAGACACAACTCTCATCTTGTTGGTGGAATTTCATCTTTCTGTGATTTGGGTTTTTCCGTCAAACATAATAACCTAAACACAGAAAAGGGAAGAAAATCATAAAAGAAGCTGCATCAATAGAGAGTAAACATTTCATTGTTAAGTCCAGATGTAACACAAAGCTCCAATTGTTTACACTCTGATGCCGAGATGATGAAACGTCTCTAAAATAATGAAAGGGGCATTTGGGAGCAAATGTGTGCATCTTGGTTCTTTTTCATTTGTCTGCAGGAGATAGTATTCTTGTTTCTTGTTAACTAAAAGCATGCAGTGGTTATCGAAATGAGTAAAGTAGCATGTTTGGATATGTTTTCTATGGTTCACGTTGAAAAGTCATCGTCATCTTCTCTCTTTCTGGGTGCTTGGTGAGTTTTTTGTGTCAAGGTTGCACAAATTTAGAAAACTAAAGATGTCTCCTTTCATCCAGGTAACTCGCCATCAGAGGAGTCTGAGGAGCGTGATAAGGAGCCCAGGACGCTGACCTACCCGGCGTACATTGCCAGCCTCCTGGACACGGGTGCTAAGCGCATGGCGGCTGGCGTCAGGATGGACTGCAACAGCCAGGGCCAGTGCCCGCGCTCCTGTCACCTCTGCCACATGAGCCCCAGGGCGGTGCAAGGGCGGCAGCTGTCAGAACCTGTCCTGTTGAAGATCACCAAAGCTGCACCCATCTATGAACTGGTGTCCAACAATGAGACCTATCAGGTAAACTGAGACCTATTGGTAAACCAATCTTGATCAGATTAGCCTATTTACTGGTCCCGTGGAAGATAAACGTTCATGCTTTTTTCGGCCATTTCTTACTCAAATTAAAGTATTTTCCCATCCTTTCTGCTACAAAGTTGTAACCTTTTGCCTGAAGGCTCTACTAATATTTCAGGTGTGACTACGGCTGTGTGATCATTAAATCACACAGTCTGTTAGCTGTCACCCTGCAATGCAGCTCTAGAGAGAGTGTCTGTGAGATCCTAGAAACCTCATGGCATCATCGTTAAACCAGTCACAGACACAGAGAACTTTACAAGGAAGTGTTTTCTTCTCAGAATATCACAGCTTTCTCTGCTGCAAGCGCGCTACGCCGTGATCTGCCGTAGCGCGCAGAGATTTGACTCCATCAATATTGTACGTCGATAATGCTTCTACTCCTCCAGCAGGAAGGGTCGATACGATGCTGTCCCCGTTTTAGAGCATTCATCCACAAGCTCAGGCAGTCAGACACAGCTGCTGGTATTGACAGAAGCTTTGGCGGTTGCTGATGCTTGACTGTGCAGACAAAATGCAACTGCAACTTTCCTGTATGGAATAATTGTGCAACAAACTCATCCCTTTGCTCCGATCACACCGTTTTAGATATGTTAAATTACTTTTCTTTTTTTTTCTTACTAGGCTCTCCAGGAGGCGATGATGAGCATGCTGTGGTGCTCAGGCAAAGGTGACGTCATCGACGACTGGTGTCGATGCGATTCCAGCGCGTTCGGCACCGACGGACTGCCCACCTGCGCCCCACTCCCTCAGCCCATGTCAGTAAAAATAACATTAACTTCTCTTAATTCAACCCACGCCGACAGATTGTGACAAATGCCATCTATCGTTTTATCAGCAGAAATGAGTCTCCTGCTAACGTGGCGTCGAGTAACGTGCCATCAGCCCCTGCGGATACTCAATATTTAATTGCGACCAAACGTTGCAGCAGTCAGTGGTTTAGTCCACCTGCCTGTATCCTAATCAATTAAATGAGCTGCTGTGTATCAACTGGCTGGTGGGAAAACTTCTGCACACAAAACTCCTGGTGCTTTAGGCACGGACGTCTGCTCCACAGTCAGTCAGATACTAGCAGATTTGTTTTTAGAGTTATTTTTTTGACGGAAGCGTTTATGCAAATGGAGAAATTGTTTTCATCGGGGCTGCGGTTTTACATAGGATGATGTCAGCTGTCGGTTACAACGATGATTGTCAACATCTCCTGTTTGTCACTCTGTCGCCAGGCTGAAGCTGTCTTACACCTATGAGCCCAGCAGCTCATTGGTCATCATGGAGTGGAACCACACCGAGCCTCCAATAGGTGTACGGATCGTTGATTACCTCATCAGCCAGGAGAAAGTGACGGAGAGGACTGACCACTCCAAACTTGAGACAGGTACGTCTGTTTGGAAAAGGTTGGGCCTTCGATCAGGCTCTGAAGTTGGTTAATTTGGATAAATATACTAATATTTGATAGTTAACATGTTAATGTGACATGAATCATGAGGACATTTGTTAAAACTTTGTTTTGTCCATTGTAAACCTTTAAACTTGATTCTTCTTTCATTTGTCAGTAAATTTGTGTCTTTTTTTTTCATTTTAAACATGGCTAATTTCTTGTCTTTCTCATGGATTCTAAGTAAGATTTTTGATGTGAACAAATTTGAGTGGTATGAAATAGGTCAGGTGTACCAGGCCTGCTGATACGGGCTGTTAGGTCCGGTGACCGGTGTCAGAGCTTGGTCCGCGTTGCCGGTGAGAGCTGCCCTTTGTCACCGATTCTGTTCATAACTTTTATGGACAGGATTGGACAGAAGTGCTGAGGGATCTGTTTTGGTGGTCTAAGGATCAGGTGTCTGCTTTTTGCAGGGGGTGTGGTCCTGTTGGCTTCATCAGACCATGATCTGCAGCTTTAGCTGGAGCGTTTCGCAGCCGAGTGTGAAGAATTGGCAACACCTAATCCAAGACCGTGGTCTTGAATTGGAAAAGGGTAGAATGCCTTCTCCAGGTTAGGGTTGACGTCCTGCCCCAAGTGGAAGAGTTTAAGTATATTAGGGTCTTGTTTACCAGTGAGGGAAAGATGGATCGGGAGATTGATAGGTTGCTTGATGCTGCATCTGCAGTGATGCAGGTGTTGTACTGGTCTGTCTTGGTGATGAAAGAGCTTAGCCGGAAGGTGAAATTCTTGATTTACTGGTTAATTTACGTTCCTACCCTCGTCTATGATCACGAGTTTTGGGTTGTGATCAAAAGGAGGTCACAGATACAAGCGGCCAAAATGAGTTTTCTCCGCAGGGTGTCCGTGCTCTCCCTTATGGAGTGAAAGCTCTGTCCTCCAGGAGGGTCCCGAGTCCTTCACATTGAGAGAAGCAAGTTGAAGCCCTCCCAGATGCCTCCTTGATGAGGTTTTATTGGGCATGTCCAACTGGGAGGAGACCTAAAGGAAGAGCCAGGACACAATGGATGGACTGTTTCTCTGCTAGGATTCCCTTGGAGGAACTGGCCCTAGTGGCTGACATGGGGAGAGGGAAGTCTGGGCTTCTCTGCTTAGGCTGCAGCCCCTGTGACCCGACTAAAGATAAGAGGAAGAAAATGGATGGATCGATTACTCTCCTTCTTCCATCTACTTGTGCAGCCTACAGCGCTGCATGCGTTAACCTTACTGATAGATTTTATTTTGCCGTTATTTAGCCCAGTTTAATAACGACTGAGAGATGATAGATTGCAACAGTGGTCAACGCCGGGGCAGTGACGTCTTCTTGCCCTCAGGCCTAGAGGTGGGGGGTGGGGTGTTGCGTGTCAAGGTGTCTATATTTTCATTAGAATGAAAAAAAAGGTACCTTCTGCATTAATCTGATTTTTTAAGACATAAGATACTTGTGAAGACCACCACAAGATGGTGTTCATCAGTAAACACTGTATATAAAATTCTCAGTACATAACTTATGACAGGTGCCGTCATAGAATTTAATTTAATTCAATCTAGATTAGTTGATTGTTTTCAGTGCAGCACAAAATGAATCATGGCCGATCTGACTAAATCATTGTCCACTACTATCCCCGACAACACGCCATCATCTGATAAAAACAAACTTTTTTTCTTATTAAAGTACTTTTTATGTCCCTGTTTATTCCGTATAGATTTTCCCATTAAGGTACGTTTTGCCTCATCTTTGCACTAAAAGCAGGAAGTGGTCTAACGAGCCAGCAGCAGGGGGGTGTAACTACCCATGACAGAGAACGTTGATTCTTGGCTTGCCCTAAATGAGTTGAAGCTGGCCAAACAGGCCCAGTTTATTCTAGCAGTAATGACCCAATCCATAATGCAGAATGTTACAGCTCCCTGTGAGTCCCAAAGTTTGTTGTAGCATAATGAGAGAATAAACCGTATTTGTCGGAGCTGTGAGGAGTATTAATCAATACTGTTGTTTCAAAGGGGAAGGAGCAGAAGAGTGTTTTCTATATGGGTGGTAATGTGCTAGCTATGAGCTATAGGATTAGCACTAATGCTACAAAAGGTGGTAAAAAAATGTTTATTTGTTTTACTCGTTTTATTTTATTTGAACCAACTGCTGGTAATAATTTAATTTTCACTTCATTTTATCAGAAATAATGTTTCAGAACAAATCGTAATCCTATTTCCCATTGTTCACAAAACACCTAAAACTTACTGTAATGGTTTAATTTACATGTTATTTCAGGAGCCATAAGACATAAGATTCCACAGCAAATATGAAATCTACCTTATGGATCTGTAGGTACTGTTTAACCAGAAGATTGGAACTTTTTATTGCAGGGATTAGGTAACAGCTTCGTATTAACTCAGAGACAACAGAAGAGAGAGAGTCAGGTTTTAAAAGTTTAAAGATTTATTACTAAACAAATTAAAACTAGACTAACTTTAACACTAAATGTATGGTGTAACTAAGTGAATGAGACGGAGAATGGTGTAGTGTGGAATGTTGTTCAGAACCAGCAAATCTGAAGAAACGATTAGTTCTGGTGGGAAGGTGATGTCTTCGCGTTAAGCTTTGGTTAGGAGATTCATAAACACATTTGATGCCATTTTGTCGGCCTACATACCCTGGTGGAAGTCCCCGTTTGATCAGGAATGTCGAGGTCCAGCTTGACCTCCTCTGGAACCGAAGCCGGTAGGAAAAGCAGCGGTTGCCGACCAGACCAGTCTGTGAGATACTTCCGGGCCACAACGGTTTTGTTGGCATCTAGCGAGACCCAAACCTGGGTCGTGATGGCTCAGCTTTTATTCTGAAAGGAACCGTTGCAGCAGTTGGAACAGCAACAGATTTTCCAGCTTGTCATTGGTTCTTTTGGCTGAAGAGGAAAGTTACGGATTGGCCACTTCGACAACTTCTCTAGAACGCTTGGAACTGGCGTTAGAGATGACGTGGGCATAATTTTATACTTCGGATGTTTTGGTTTATGGTCGAATGAAAAGATGACAGATTTACCAAGCACCACCAAAACCACGCCTCCGTCAGATCTGGCAGATTCTGATTGGATCAGTAAAAGCAATGTGTCGTCTCTTAACGCTACGTGAGATCAGTCCTAGTGGAAACATTTAAAGTCATATTACTTATTATATTCTATAATATACTATTCGGGGGCCTCAGGTAGACCTTGGCTCCTCTGCCGTTCCATCACAGGGGAGGGGAAGGTCCAGGAAGGGGAGGACCCAACCTTACCTGGATGTCCCATGTCTTATATATTCTGGAAGTTGTGCAAATGCAGGGGTGGGCATAGATATTCTGCTGGGGTGGGGCTGGGTTGGTGCCCTCGGACTCCGTGAGGCTCTGTAATGCTGCCGCTTTGGGCCCTGGCAGGATGGGCTGGGGTCTCCATGCCCTGGGTGGCAGTTTGACAACAGAGGTGCCTATTGGGGCCAGTGGAGGAGCTGGCTCCCTGGAGGGCTAAGCCCAACCAGCCATTCCTCCCCATCCCCGCATATTTCTCTCCTCCTGCTCCCTCACATCATCACACAAACATACACATAGGACCTTGGGGGGTGGGCAAGTCAGGGAGTGCGGGTATGGACCCCATTTCCGTATTCCTGTGAAAACCTGCCCCCCAATTTTATTTGCACCTTATACACTTCCACTGACGACATTCCACACAAACACACACTTAGGGCCTTGGGAGTGAGCACATTCAACGGCATTTGGCAGGGGGATATTTCAGCCTCCTCCCGAGTGCCGGTGCCCACTTCCAATTTTAAACCGCACTTAGACACTGATGGCTGAGGGTGTAAGTGGGGTGGTGCAGTGGCATCAGCTGGCATATGCTGGATGATGCCCGCACTGCCCACTCACCACAGCCATGGAATACACCTCATGATCACACAACACTATATTGGAGCAGGCGGAGGGAGACTAGGGGTCTTAGCCACCTCTGTTGTTGCTAGGCTTCCTGGGGCTGGAGGCTAGGAGGGAGATCTGGCCGTCTGGTTGGGGTCTGGGGTGGTGGGTTGCTGTGCTCAGCGTTGGGCGGGGGAGCCTGCTCATCAGCACCCCAGCAGAAAGGGTCAAACTCTGGTTACCGGTGATGGTTGTACCCCATGTGCAGCAGTACCGGGACCAGAGTTAATAGGGTGTGTATGGGGAGCATGAGTGGGTGTCCGGCGTGCATTTTTGTAAGTCTTGGGTTGTATGTGCATGTGTGAGCATGAGGGAGGGAGCGTGTGACTGTGTTTGTGTATGACTGTATACGTCAGGTGGGGCCTTTGGGTCCTCCCCTCTCCTGGAACTTCTCTTGATGATATAGATCTCTGTCCCCCCTCCCCCTGCCACACCTGGTGTGGGGGCTTGTGCCATGGTCTGCCTGAGTGTTCGTGGCAACCGGGTCTGGGGGTTTAAGATTTTGGCATCTGCCTGTTAGATCCCGGTGGCTGCCTGGTGGGGTCTGGGTCCCTGGGCTCTGCTGGGTCCCCGGCGGGGGTGGTCACCCCTGGGTCCCGGGTCGCTGGTTCCCGGGCTCGGCCGGCTAGGGGGTGGGAGGCTGCGGGCGGGCCTGTGGGCTGGCCGCTGATATCTCCAAAGACTCTGCCGGCTGCTGGTTGTGGCCCCCCGGGGCGATCCTCTGTGCCTCTCGAGGGGGGCGGGGGCCTTCCTGGTTGCAGTCTCCTTGGGGTTCCTGCGTTCTGGGGCAGCGCCTGGATCTCTGGGACTTGGAGCTCCCCCCGTCTCCTGCCCATCTTTGGGGGGCAGATCTGTGGTCCCTCACACTCTCTGTTGGACGCTCCTATAGAAAAACCTTAAATAAACAAGCGCGTGTACACACACAGGTGCGCACATGGTGCTCTCAAAGTATGGGCTTGGGCACGTTCAACACATGTCTTAAGACTATGGTGGGCACTTAATGCGTTGTGATTTATTATTGTGA